AGAAGGGGTGTAAGATCTTCGTCCTACTGGGGGACATCCAAAGGGGAATTTAAATTCTTTAAGATATAAAGCAGTATCTGTTTCTCAGTCACAGCTTCAGAATTTGTCACAATTGCAGTGTGTTTGGCCATGTCAGATACTGAGGCGCAGATGGCTCCCGGCAACAGATCCCAAAGCCTTAGAAGTTTCTTTCAGAGAAAGTAGATTATTTCTATTCCAGGAAAAAAAAAAAAGAAAAGAAAAGAAATAAAAAGCACATTCATTGAAGACATTCCTATTTGTATAACAATGAAAACCAGTGAAGAATAAAAACATGAAATACTAAGAAACTGTATTAGCTAAAGTGATTGATAGCATGAACTCTGGACAAGTTGCCTGTCGTCAAATCCTGCCAAGGCCTGTGATTTGGCAACCTTCAACAATGCTGGACCTCCTTTGCCAGATTTTCCTCCCCTGTATGTTTGGAGTCATGATAATGTCTTCGTTACGGGGTTTTAGGAAAAGCTGTATCTTTTCCTAACCTTTTAGTATCTTAGTTTCCTCATCTTTAAAATAGTGATAATATCTCTAGCAATGTTTGGTTAGAGATTAAATTATTTATATATGTAAGCTGTTTAGTATGGTATGAGTTAATACATATATGACATTTAAAAGGTGCTTGGCATGGGGGACTGAACTCAGCACCTAGAGCTGAGCTGAACTGCCACCCAGATGGTTCAGTGGATAGACTGTATGCTCTTAACAGCAAGGTTGCTGGTTCGACTCCCACATGAAAAATAAAATAAAATAAACGGTGCTTGGCACATACTAAACACTCAATAAATGTTTGTCATTATTATAAAGTACTAAGAACTTTAAAATAATTTTGTTTTTACTTGTAGGTGAATAATTATGGACAACATAGACACATATTTAGTGAACTTTAAAGGCTTTAACTTTGATTTACCTGCCGTTGATGTTGACTTTCTAGAAAACATAGAAGATTTTGAAATTAGAGATGATGATATCTTTATAATTACATATCCCAAATCTGGTAAGTTGGAGGGGTGGGCCACCTGTATCAGTCTTCACCCTGGTTTGATAATACCTGTGTACAAATGTGCCCAGTCCCAGACATTAACAGTAGCCCAGCCTACATTCAAGCAACCACTTAGGATCAGAAAGAAAGTTAAATAAAACTCAAATCTTTATAAGGCCATTTGAAATGCATGTATTGTCTTTTTTTATTTAAGATTTTTATTGGGGAATTGGGGGAAGGGGAACAGACAAGTTGCTGTCCTTTTGTTCTTCAGTCTAGTTGTGGAGGACGTTGCTTCACTGGCCCAGGTTGGCACCATCATTGCGCTCTTCCCGGGCGAGGCAGATCAGTCGCCGGCTTCTGGACAGCTGCTCACGGTGGCTGCTGGCCGCTTACGCTGGCTGCTGGCTACACACGCTGGCTGCTGGCTACACAGGGTAGCCCATGGCAACCCACAGCCACAGGGGCTGCAGCCTCCTCCGTCGCCGGCGACTCACAGCAGCCCAGCTCCAGGTTGAGCTGTTGTTCAGCATCTTAGCTGTAAAGGGCAGTGTCACTGGCCCTCATATGTGGGATCCGAACCGGGGCCCTCTGGCGTCCCAAGCCAGTTCTTAACCATCGCACCACTCGGCTGGCCCTGTATGTCATTTTTGATGGTACATATGAAGAAACCAAATATTGAGTCAAGAGCAGATACTTAATAAGTGCTGACCTATTGGCTTTCTCTGAGAATGGAAGAAAATATATTTAAAAACCCAGTAGCATTTTTGTTAGCAGCACATCTCAGTCAGAGCTAATTCCTAATATGCTTTCCAATTACTCTAATTGCTTTGTATTTCCCTATAATAATGAAATAATTTTGAACTAATTGCCCTCAACTCTTATATTCCAAAACAAAAAACTGATTTTTAAAAATATTGGAACACAGGGTGATTGGTGCTCTTAAAGCCATGTTGTACAAGTGGTTAATGTTGCTCAAAGATACACTGGAGTCTAAGTCAATACAAAAAAATCATCCCCTATTCTCATGAAAATGCTCCAGTCCCTCCCTTTTACCATCTACTTTGAAATTAATGACCTTGTTTACTTTCCCCAAAGTAGGAATGCAATGCCTTTTCCCTGAATTCTTCTATTCTGCAAAATTTATCAGCACATCTAATATTGGGGTTTTTTTTTTTCCTCCTGTAGATGTTGGTGGCATCTGCTTTTTTATTTGCTTAATTTTAGGTTAAGCTCAGCAGCCCATGATAGTCTTTCCTTTACCCTTAATCCAGCCCACGTGTTTGGGACATCATACCCCAGTCCTCAGCCCAGGCTTCTGGGCTCTTACTCATCTTGGAGGGGCGATTAGTGACTCTCCCCAGGAGTCACCATAAATTTTATCGAATCTACTATGTCTATAATCAGTTGAGTAGTGACAATTACAAGATTGTTGACATCTCACATCCTTTTAGAACATTGATTGTATTATTCATGAACATAGATGTAAAAATCCTAAACCAAATATAAGGAAAAGAAATCTAGTGATGTTAAAAAAATAATACACTGTGACCAAGGTGGGTTTCTTTCAAGTCCTGATTGGTTTAAAAACATATTACTGTAGTTTACCCACATTACTAGAGTATGAAAGAAAGCCAACATTTTCATCTCAATAGATGCAGAACAAGCATTTAATAAAATTCAGCACATATTGATAAGGGAAATTATTTAAAAACTAGGGAGAAAAATGAACTTCTTTAACTTCATAAACAGTATTTACCAAAAACTACCACAGACATCATATGCAATAGTGAAACATTTAAAATATCACATTTTGGGCCGGCCGAGTGGCGCATTGTATAAGAGCTGGCTTGGGATGCCAGAGGGCCCCGGTTCAGATCCCACATGTGAGGGCCAGTGACACTGCCCTCTACAGCTAAGATGCTGAACAACAGCTCAACCTGGAGCTGGGCTGCTGTGAGTCGCCTGCAACAACGACGGCGTAGGCTGCAGCCCCTGTTGTGGTGGGTTGCCATGGGCTACCGTGTGTAGCCGGAGGCCAGCATGAGAGGCCAGCAGCCACTGTGAGCGGCCGTCCAGAAGCCGGCGACTGATCTGCCTCGCCCGGGAAGAACGCAATGATGCTACCAACTTGGGCCAGTGAAGCAACGTCCTCCACAACTAGACTAAAGAACAAAAGGACAGCAACTTGTCTGTTCCCCTTCCCCCAATTCCCCAGCGCTGTTCCCATCCCCCAATTCCCCAATAAACAAAAAATAATAAAATAAAATATCACATTTCAAATCAAGTACAAGACAAGAATGCCTGCTATCAGTACTTTCTTTCAACAGTGTATGAGAAAACCTAGGCTACACAGTTTAAAAAAATATATATGGTGAAAGCGAACTTGAGCTCTTAAGTTGTCTCTACTTCTACAAATAAAGCTTTAAGAAAGGAGACTGAGAAAGGAGAAACAAAAGTAACTACAGAAAATCAGAAGACTGGAACTTAACAGGAAATACAGCAAACAGAAAGAGCTGAAGGATTAATCTGAATTGCTGTTATCGTGATGGTATCAGAACCACAGCTCTTTCCAAGTAAAGGAGGAGCTAAGAGCATTTGCTCTTGTTGTTACTCATTGTAATGTAAAATACAAGCAAACAAAAAATTTAGACAAATTTCCTTGGAGTACTTAGAATGGTTAAAAAAAAATGAAAGCTCCAAAAGATCTTCAGATATATGGCATTGTTATTGACATCTTTTTTATAAAAGATTCAAAAGGAGATTATTTTGACAGGTACTGTCTGGGGTCAGCAGATAGTAAGCTCGATATGCTTTGAGAAACATCGTTACGGAACTGAAACGGTGGAAACGATTGACAGAGCCCCCTTCTTTGAATACAACATACGCAAAAAAGACTTTCTCAAGATACCATCCCCTCGAATCTTCTCTTCCCACCTCCCATATTATTTAGTCCCAAAAGGTCTGAAGAACAAAAAAGCTAAGGTATGTCATAGAAATAGCTGATGTACCTTTGGTACAAACAAAAATACTTTCTTCAAGTATTTTTTTCCAGCTCCACTCATCCACATTCTTTCAAATGTTACTATTATAATTTTTATGATATTGTTTTACACATTCAAGATATATATGGAATTATAAGTATATACATAAGTTTGGTCACTGCACACATGGCTTGCAGTGTAATTATATAACGTGCGACAAATTTTTTTTATGACAGCGAATAAAATTCTATTCTTTTTAATGGTTTGATAGAATTGTATTGTATGGTTCTACAATATTGAATGTGTATTGATGGACAGGTAGGTTGCAGACAATGTGTATATTGCATTGCAATAAACATTCTTATAGATCTTTAACTTTTTTGATCTAGTGAAATGTTTCCCTAAAAGTGGAGTTTTCAGGTTAAAGCGTCCAGTTATTTTAAGTGTTGGTAAATATTATCTACTTGCTTTCTATAATGTATTAACTTACACTTGTTCAAATAGTGTATAAGAATGTTTTTTGCTCACATGCTTACAAGTGATTGGAATGATCAATCTTTGCTAATGTGCTAGGTAAAAAAAAAATCTCACTCTTGAGCAATTTGCAGTCCTTTTGGTTTTAATAACTTGAGCATCTTTTTATATATGTTTAGCCCTTGAAATATCCTTTATATTCCTTGCCCATTTGGCTTTAGCTTGTCTTTTATTTACTGTTTTGTAGAAGTATTTGTATGGGACAAATATTTTCCCAATTAATAGTTTACCTGTAAAGATTGTTGAATTTTAATTTTGTATAACCAATCTAGCAATCTTTCCTTCGTAGATTCTAGTACTTGTATCTTGCTAAGAAAACACTTCCCCACCAAAAAGATTATGCAAATACTCTCCATGTTTTTTCTAATTAACTGTGTGTTTTTATTTTTTACATTTAATTATAAATTATATCTGATGCTGTATGTGATTTGAAATATGACTATTACATAATATTTGCCAAGGGAGTTAGCCAGCTGATCCAATATGACTTGTTTAAACATTTGCTCTTCCCCTACTATTTTAAAGTCTACATTTTGATATACTAAGTTTCTATAGTCATTCCCTCTGATTCTGGATTCTCCATTCCAAAAATTAATATGTAGGAGTTCTTCACTGTCTTAAATACTGCGACTGATAAGACAAATCCCCATCAACTTTATTTTTTGATATGTTCATTCCCCCAGTGATTTTTTAGATGTTGATTGGAATTGATTAAATATATATAGATTAATTCTGAGACAATTATTAAAATCACAATATTGCAAGATTCCTTCCAGCATCATTCTATTGCTCTTTATTTATCTGGTCTGTTTTCATGTCCATCAAATGTGCTGTTATTCTTTGTATGCTTCATACACATTTTTCCCTGAATTTCCATTTTTCTGGCTATTATGAATTGTAATTTTTTTCACTATTGTTTTTTCTAGTTAGTTATTGCTGTTATAAAGAAAAAAAAGCATTGGTATTGTGGCTCCCTTAATCAATTTTATTAGGTTTATTAACTTTTTGCCTATTCTCTGCAATATATTAGATCTTAAAAGAATACATTTTACTTTACTTTATTTTCCAATATTTACATTATGATTTTGTTTTTGTTTGTTTCCTATTTCAGTAGTTAAAACCTGCAGAAAAAAATAGAGTAATAGAAGTGATGACAAATATTCTTCTCTTGTCCTTGATTCTCTACCATTTTTAATATTTTTTCTTAGTTTTGTTTTGCAGCTGATTTTCCAAGCACATGATAATGAATAATGTTTTTCCTATTCTTAGTTTGCTTGGAGTTTTTTTGTTTTTGTTTTTGCTTCATTCAGAAAAGGTCTAATCACATAAAACGCCTTTTTTGGCAACTCTGAAGATGCTATGACTCTCCTGTCTCCCTTTAATCTATAGTGAAATGAAATCAACTAATATTTCAATAATGTCCTGTTTCTGGAATAAATCCTACTTGTTTATAGTATGATATTTATATTAACATACAGCTGGAAGAGTTTTATTAATTTTTATTCAGAAATTTTTATCTGTAGCTATTTTTAAATAGACTAATTTTTGTGATTGTTCTATATTTGATTTTAGTATCACTGTTCTTCTAGTCTTATAAATTTCAAAGCTTTTTGCTAAGTTATGAAGTAGTTTAAAAATACAAATTAACTGAATTTTTTTAAGATTTGGTTTTAAGTCTATTGTAAATACATCTGATTCTATCAGCTTCATAGTCCTACATTTTCATTCTTCTGATCAGTTTATTTAAATTAGCTGCCTTTCACTAAAATGGTTTTATAATTTTAATTTCAAAGTATATTATCCCCATTTCATCTATCTTTTAAAACAATGAAAAAAATTACAACATATTCTCACATGATCTAATGAATTTTCTCCAATTCTCTGATTATATCTTTTTCAGTCATTTTTAATAAGAAAAAATTTTTATGTTCTTTAATTTTCACATTTTTCAGGATATCAGGAGTTTCTATTAAATTTTTTTCTCCAAATAACTAGTTTCTTTTTAAAGCATAATTTAATGTTTTCTGCGTCATTGATTTCTGCTTTCATTTTAATTGTTTTCTCATATTTTGTTTGCATTTATTTTTCTGACTTCTTAAAATAAACCTTAGTATTATCTATTTCCAATATTTATTTTTAAAATATTGACATTTGAAAATGATGGATATTCTTTTTAGTATAACTATGGATATAATTTTGTTAGTATCTAAATAACCTATCATTTCAGTTTTAATTTTCTAGTTGGTCCAAGCTATTTTGAAGATTTTTTTATTTCCAAGAGTATATAATTTTCTGTATTAACTTTTTCTTTGTTGATTATTAGTATGTACTATCATGAAGTAATGGTGATGTATGAGTTCTACTGTTTAAAATTCATTAAAACGTTTTATGGTCATTTACATGGTCAATATTTTTAATATGTCCCATGACTACATGAGAAAATGGTGTATATTCTCTGTGTGAGGTAACACGCACATATACAAAATAAACTTTGTTAAATGACTGTGTACATTTTGTTAGTCCTTTAATCCTTATGTTTAAAGGAAAGTGAGTATAAATCTTCCACTGTGATGGTTTCTTCTCCAATACCGGAAATATATTCTTTATTTTTTAAGATGTGAAAGTTTTACTTTCATATTTAAATCCTCAATCCATTTATAAAAATGATTTTTGTGTATGGTGTGAGGTAGGAGGCAGAATTCCATTTCTTTTTTTTTTTTCTACATTGATAATTACTTGTTTCAACATCATCTGTTTAATAGTTTTTTCTTTTTTCACTGATCTCCAATGCTATTTGGCTATATATCAAATATTACTTAATGTCCATGTAGAGTAAATTGAAACAGCTTCTGTGCAAGGTAATTTACAATATTAATCAACTTTAGGAATAAGTTATTTCCCTATTAGAAATTAGTCCTTATGCTTGTACATGTGAAATGTCATGTGAATAAATTTATTTCAACAATCTTTGTCATGGCAAAAAATTGGACATAACCTAAATTTCCATGAGTAGTAGACTGGGTGAAACAAATTATTATACATTTATATAATGAAATGTTATCTAGACATTTTTAAAAAACAAGAATTATTAAACTTGTTTTACTATTTCCCCTGCAGATTATTTACATCTATAGAAACCCCAAGGATGTTTTGAATTCATACTTTCATTTTTCAAACTTGATGGTTTTATTCCAATTTACAAAAACTATGGAAGAGTTTTTGGAAAAGTTTCTAGATGGAAAAGGTAACTGAATTTATTTATACAAGCACAATGTTTATGAGGCAATGTTGCCATGTAGCCAAATTCTCAAACTTAGGGAACATATTTTAGGAAGATGGAGAGAGTAATGTTAGAAGCTGGAATGCACATGAATGTTACTGTTCTGTGAGTTTAATTTGCTACCCAGTGGCTCTTCTATTCTCACCTGGACCACTCTGGGGATTGTATGCAAAGTCATGTTGTTTAAGAAATATTTTGACCAGATCAAATGAGAGCCACAATGGTCTAACAATTCAAACTAGTTAGATCCATGTGTTCCAGAATAGCAAATGTTCAAAGTGGACACAGTGTTCCTGTTCTGTCATGGACTTATGGTAGGCCTTCTCTCCAATGGTGGAATTTTCATTTTGACACTGAGGAGGCTAAATTGAGGTAAGAGACTTGTGGAATGTGGAGTTGGTGCTCTCAATCATTTAGATTATATTCAGTTTCTATCTCATTGTCAATAGCTGAAGTTGCTATCCAGAGATCTTAAAATAGACAATAAAGGAAGAAATAAAGATGTTTTCAAGTGGAAGAAGTAGGAAAAGTAAGGGGCTTACCTTAAAGAAATCTTCAAAGTTAGTTCTTTGGGCTTCTTACTTATTAATTGCTGCTTTCCTACATACATAGGAAAGGCAGGTTTCCATTAAAATCATGTAATTGTTCCCAAAACACCATTTTTACAAGGTAACATAGGTGACCATTGGTAGGAGCTTTATTTTATTTTATTTTCTGAGGATTCCAGAACAGAAAAGAAAAGCTATAGTTTGCTGTTCAATGAGTGCAACATCTTTAACCTTGCTACATATTAATTTTTCCCACAGTGGTAGGAAGCCTTTGGTTTGATCACATCAAAAGCTGGTATGAGCACAGACATGATTTCAATATTCTGTTCATGATGTATGAGGAAATGAAAATGGTAAGAGAAGAAGGTTATTTTTAAAAATTGTTTCTTTGAAACCCTTTTTTAAATTTTAATTTGGGAATTAGGGGAGGGGAACAGCCAAGTTGTTGTTCTTCAATCTTAGTTGTGGAGGGCGCCAGTTGCCATCTGGCTGCCCATTGGCAGCTCATGGCCTCTAAGGTGCTGTGTTACAATCTTAGTTGCAGGTGGGTGTGGCCACCATCCCATGCAGGAGTTGAACCAGCAGCCTTGTTGTTAACAGCGCATGCTCTGTCCACATCCGGGCAGCAGCTCAGCTCAAGGTGCCGAGTTCAGTCTTAGTTGCGGGCGGGCGTATTCATTTTGTATCCTGTAACTTTGTGGAATTTGTCTATTAGTTCTAACAATTTTTTGTGGAATCTTTAGGGTTTTCTATGTATAAAATCATGTTGTATGCGAGCACAGGTAATTTTACTCCTTTCTTTGAATTTGGGTGCCTTTTATTTCTTTTTGGTGCCTAATTGCTCTGGCTAGGACTTCCAGTATTACGTTGAATAAAAGTGGCAAGAATGGGCATGTTTGCCTTGCTCCCAATCCTAGTGGAAAGTTTTTTTAGTCTTTTACCATTGACTATGATGTAAACAAGTAAGTATTTTATATATGGTCTATTGATGCTGAGGTAGTTTTTTTTTTAATTTTCTGTTCTTTGTTTTTTGAGTGTTTTTATCATGAAAACGTGTTAGATATTGTCAAATGCTTTTTCTGCATCAGTTAAGATGATTGTATGGTTTCTTTCCCTTTCATTCTGTAAATGTTGTATTACATTAATTAATTTCATATGTTGAACCCTCTTTGCATCCCAGGGGTAAATCCCACTTGATCATGGGGTATGCTCCTTTTAATATGTTATTTAACTTGTTTTGCTAGTAATTTTTTTTTGGGGGGGGGGAATTTATTATTTTTTTAAACTTTAATTAAATTTATTGGGGAGACAATGGTAAATAAAACTACATAGATTTCAAGTGTACATTTCTGTAATACATCATCCATATATCACTCATATGTGAGATATAAAACTGAAAGCAACAAAGAAACAAGACAAGCAAAGAAACAAAAACTCATAGACACAGATAACAGTTTAGTGGTTATCAGAGGGTAAGGGGAGAAAGGAGGTGGTAGAAGAGGGTCAAATATATGGTGCTGGAAGGAGAACTGACTCTGGGTGTTTTTCTAGTAATTTGTTGAGGATTTTTGCCTCTTAGCTTTCATAAGTGATATTAGTCTTGAGTTTTCTTTTCCTGTAGTGTTTTTATTTGGTATCAGGGTAATGCTGGCCTTATAGAATGAGTTTGGAAGTATTCCCTCCTCGTTGATTTTTTTGGAAGAGTTTGAGGAGGACTAGTGTTAACTCTTCTTTGAATGTTTGGTAGAAGCTGCCTAGACCTGGGCTTTTCTTTCTCGCATCCATTGTATTTAATTACTTGCTTTCCCCTTTCCTTCATGAAGTTCTAAACTCATGAACAAGCACAGATAACACATTATTGGTCTCTTAAACTTCTCCAATACTTATTACACTTTCAGAAACATATAAGATATCCTAAAAGTGTTGGTTAAATAAATTAATGAGCTATCCTTATAAAATCAAACAGTAGGAAGCTCTAACCAAGATGACAACCAGAGCACCCATTTTCATAGGAGGAATAGGGAAGTGATATATCCTTGTCAAACTTTAGACTTACATTAGGTCCAATCACCTTCAGTTTTTCCAAAATGTAATAGATGTTGGGCTGTAACTCGTGTGTTCCTTATAAGCTGAATAGTTTCTCATACCCACTATCCTTTCAGGATCTCAGAAGTTCTGTGCTTAAAATCAGCCATTTCCTTGAGAAAGAACTGAGTGAAGAGGACGTGGAAGCTATTGTGAAGAAGGCAACATTTGAGAACATGAAACACGATCCAAAAGCAAACTATTATGACATTATGCATAAAGAAGTGGGGACAAGAAGTGATGGACAGTTTTTGCGTAAAGGTGATGCTCAGTGGTTTATGAGAGTAATAATGTTACGAGTTCCCTTGAATCCTTGGCCTCTACACTAATTAAGAAGTGCTTCTAACATGTCTTTGCAAGTACAATAATACCTTGGTTTGCAAGCATAATTTGTTCTGGAAACAAACTACTCATATTGCAAGACATCGTTCGTTTACCACATTAAATTGTATTAGAAATGTTTGCTCATCTTGCGGAACACTCACAAACCATGTTACTCGCAATCCAAGGTTTTACTGTACTGTCATTTGGGAGTTAGAGAAAACCAAAGATCCTAACTGAAAATGGCCCTGAAAAGTATCCCAGATAACTGAACAGTTCTTTAGTACTGAGCCTGACACTTGAAACTGATCAATATTAGGTTCCTTCCTTCTAGCCTATGTGACCCTACTCTTAAAAATTTGTTACCAAGTATTACCTGAAGGTGATGGATGGATATATGTGACTAGGACATCTCCAATTTTTGTTTGCCTTTCTCTTTGAACATTCTATAAGTAAACTCAACATGTATTTTGTTGTGGGGGAAAGGGTTTGGATTAGTTGTTTCCTCATGTGTCAGATTTTTTCATTGTAAAAAGTAAATTAGCCCATTGTGCTATGAATTAAATTATTCAGCAACATGAAATAAACTTTTATTGTGCTTCTATGACATGCCAGGATTTGTTAAGGAAGAATACATTTTCCTCCTGATACCCTTTAAGTTCAAAATTTTTTGAATTTGATCTCTTTAATATGCATTTTAAAAAACATAATTTGTACTTTTCCATTTTATTCATATTTGTGCACTAAATTATGCATGGCTTAGCATTTTGATGGTGGACATTTATTCTTAATTATGCAAGTATCTTATTGAAATTGCTCTTGACATTGTTATTTTTTAAAAAACTTTTCTTCTTTTGCCCCATTTATTATTAACTTTTACGTCTCAGTGTTCAACTAGATTAAGTATAAAGCAATTCTCATGCTCATAATAGCTTGCTAACATGCCAATAATAATGTTTCAACAAGAGAATTTGATAGCTGAAGATGCCAAATCTTCCTTTAAAAAATCAGCTTATGATAGTTTCAAACTTCCATCAAATAAAACTGAAGCAATGGCAGCTCAGAGCACCCTCTGTGACCTTGGCTTCATTACTTGAAAATCTTTGGGTCTCATTTTTGTTTTTTAATTTTAAAAATGAAGAAATACTGATATTGTAGGTTTGTGTTGAGGATTATATTACATGATAGGTGTGCCAAGCATTTAGTAAAATATGTGTAACAATTCTAATCTAGTCATATATTTTACTTTTGTTTTTCCTTCTCGATAAAGGTTAAAATTTAATGGTAGTGGTTGTGCAAGTATAATAGATAAGGAAAGTGGATTTTGGAAGTATTTTTTTTTTGTTTCTTGGCTCATTTCTATATAAGGGAAAGTAGCAAACACCACAGAAAACTAATAGATATTTAGCTTGGCTTGAAGAAGGGATTAAAGCAGATTGGAGGAAATTTTTGACCTGATAGTGCTACTTACTCACCCAGGAGCTGATCATGTGCTTATCCCTCTAGGTGTCATTGGAGACTGGAAAAACTACTTGACAGTGAAGCAAAATGAAAGATTTGACAGAATATTCCAAAGGAAGATGAAAGATTTTCCTTTGAAGTTCATCTGGGATATAAATGAGGAGTAGAATCAATGTAAAAGAATTCTAGAAAAATATACTTAACTAGAGAGCATATTTTAATATACATGTTAATTTGTTCTTCTCATGCAAATGTTAATTATAAGACTTTAGTAATATAATAATGAGTAAACTGTGCTTATATTAGTTGCTGTGAGTTTGATGAACACTTTGAAATTTAAAAAAGTAAAATGATTTTAGAGATAGTCTGCCTTGATAGCCTGTATTATAAAGTGAAACACAGAAAGCATGTAATGTGAATTGTAAATGTTCTGAGAGGGTTTCTGCAATGTGTAGTTTTTTAATCTACAATTAAATTTAGTATCAATAAAACACTAAAAACTTTTATTATTGTAATTAAATTGTAATTATTTGGTTTAAAGTCAATGTGAATGTCAAAATAAATAGAGAACTCATATATAAGCACATACATCTGTTTACTAATTTACCAGATTACAAAATTTACACTAAAGATAAAAAGATCAAAAATAGATTAATCATCTAATCAATCATGTAACTATTGGGAGGGAAGAAATAATTGTATTTATAACATATCACTCACTTAACTAATTCCTCATGTTTTTAATAGTTAAATATTTAATATAAAATCATTTTGTGTTGCCTTACAGCCTCATCCTCGACCTCCCCCCCACACACACACCAGCCCCTGACCTAACAAGGTCATGAGGGAGTGTCTTGGAAAACTGAGACCTGGTGGAATGATATCAGTAAAGCTTCCTCAAGGGAGTGTCCTGGAAAACTGGGACCCAGCGGAATGAGGAATGATGTCGGTTATCTCCCTTAGTTCATCGCTGCAGCAGCAGCTGCACCATCCTGGGGGTTGTGTGTGTAGGAGTAGGAAAGCACAGCATGTGTTAGAGTACAATGGGACTGGTTGATGGAAACTGGCCTTAAGACACTTATGACACGGACTTTAGAAAGAAAGTTATTTTACTCTTTTGAAGTTTCTCAAAAAAAAGCTACACGTTGGCCCAATTCGGGACTCAGTTCCAGAGAGAGGGAACTGCAGTCCCCTGGCCACGTGTCTTAAATCTATCTTTGTCTCTTGTGCTTCTTTAACCCTTCACCGTCCCCTCTGACTCCTCACTGCCCGTGCTGTGCGGGAGGTGGCAATTTTGTATGACTAGAAAAATATTGATGAATTTGTTTATAATTTCCAAATGGAGAAAAAGTTTGGAAGCATAAAAGCAGTGAAAGAAACTTAAAAGAAAATTTAGTAAATTTACAACCATAAATATTTCAAGGCACCACCATCTATAACAGTTAACAAATGAAAACAACTCAGTGTCCATATACAGTAAAATAAATAACTGGCATTTCATATAAGCAACCACTATATGTTAGTGAGAATGCATGACTTACACCTACATGGAAAACATTTATGAAATCTCTGAAACATAATGTTCAGTGGAAAAAGCCAGACACTTATTGCATGATTCATTAAATAAGATTTAAAAACAGGTAAAATTAATCTATAGGTTTAGGAGAGTGTATACCTTTGGGGGATGGTGTAGTAACTGGACAAGCAAATAAGAGAATTCCTGGGATCTTAGTATATTCTGTTTCTTGATCTTAGTGCTGGTTCCATGGGTGTGGTCACTTTTTAAATATTCTTTGGGCTATACATGCATCATTTATGATTTTTATGTGTTTTTGTCATTTTAATAAAATTTGTGAAATCATAAATATAAAATTTTCTGTAAGGACAGACAAACAAAAACTTGTAGTTTATAGAAAAGACAAAACAAACTCAGAATTAGCAAAAGTTTAAAGGAATGTTCACTGTTAGAGTAGGGTGAAATAAACATTCTCATATATGTTCATGGAAGTGAAAATCAGTTCAAATCTCCTTTATTGCAATTTTGAAACAGAATCAAAAGTCTTAAAACTAGTCACATTCTGTGGTCCTGTAATTTCATTTCTAGGAAACTCCCGAACTTCGATTAAATTAATTCATTTTTCTGTAATTTAAATTTTACTTTCACTACATTTCTTTTTTCAACTAACATGTTTTTCCATGTCCATGCAATTGACTTATTTTCATGTCACAGATAAAACATCTATTTACATCTTTGTGGAGAGCATGAATCTGAGGTGTTCTCTCACTTATGAAACCCTTTCTCCTGGCATCTTAGTGAAGCACTCCTGTCGAAAATGAGAATATTCTATTTGTAACCAGTTTATGCAAAATAGGGTAGTTCATTAAAAGATTCATGGAACACCAGAAAGGAATTGTCTTGAGCTTCCTGAGGAACTATTGATAGAACCAAGAAGTATGAAGCAGTTAGGGACTCGTACATCTTTTCACTTTTTTCTCTCTCTCTCCTGTCTCAGAGCTTCATCTTTGTGTTCATGTATAGGATACATTCTTCCCTCCCTCTGTCTCTGAAGACTGACTTTAGCATGATGACAATCATGCATTGTGTCAAATGACCTCAGTTCGAACAATTAACAGAGATAGCCTGGTGGTGTTGAATTCATACTAAAATTCCAGGGAGAGAAAATACATTGTATAGGTTAGGTCACTAAGCTTCCCTGAGCATTCAACCTATGTTCAAAGCAAAACAGTCATGGAGTAGAAGCACAGCACACCATGTCCTGTACCATCATTGAGAGGATGAACTAGTTAGTGAAAAAATATATCATACCTGATATGGCTTGTATTATGTCTCCCAAAAAGATATGTTTAAGTCTTAACCTCCATTACCTCAAAATGTGATATTATTTGGAAATAGAATCACCGTAGATGTAATTAGTTATAGTCAGATACTGGAGTAGTGTGGGCCCTTAATCTGATAAAACTCATGTCCTTATAAAAAGAAGAAAGAGATACTGGGTGAAGACAGCTATGTGACAACAAGCCAAAGAATGACAAAGGGCACACCACTCCCACAAGGCAGCCAATTCAATGTTCAGGCAATACAATTTGCAGGAAAGTCGTTATCTATAAAATGAGACAAAAATGGGAGTGAAATGCCTTGAAGTTTTTGGATATACCTTGCCCTTGATCATGTCAGGATCTGAGCTCCATGCTATAAACGAGGCAGTTTGCACACTTAATTTAGTAAGTATTCACAGTAATCTTATGTAGTGCATGTTACAATGCCTATTTCATAGAACGAACTAGGCCTCTGGGTATGCACTATAACCATGCTCACAGTTAATGAGATGCAGAGCCAGGATTCTACCCAGGTTTGATTCCAAAACTCAGATGTTCTCCCCTCTTAATTGGCTATTTGAGGCTGATCAGCTTAGATAGGCATGCTGCATGTTAGACCAATGGAAGAGGAGAGAGGCAAGAATGAGATGTGATTATGAAATTTTAGAGAAAATGGAAATTCTATAAACTGATGGAATGAAATCTAATAAATCTAATCTAATCTAGTCAATCTAAATTTTTTAATGATAAAGAAAGCTGGGAATTTATTAGAACTGGCCTAAGTAAGGAAATAACAAATAGAGGCAATATACCATCAAATTATCTAGGTAATCTCAACTTTGACTGATAATAGAGGGAGTCCATCAAAGCAAGGTACTCTGAGACAGGTGAGTAAGAGAGCTGCTGAGGCAATCCTCCTCGCAATTCCGAGAGCCTTTGGGTGGGCGCGTGGGCCTTGACTCCTCTGCCCACTGTTTAGCAGTTGGCGAGCTCCCCACCCACTCTGCAGGCTATGGTGCCCACTCGTACCAACGTGGCCACTGAAATCCCCAGTAGCAAAGTGAAAGTGTCAATGCTTCCCAGCACTGGCGGTGGACACATCAACCGTCAGAAGAAAACTGTACCTGCTGAAGCTAGCTTTAAATCGAAAAGATGTCCAGCTGTGGTGAGAGCTCATTTACTCAAATTTAAGAAAAGCCCTAAGATTCCTTATAAGGCCATTGCCTGCGCCACCGTGCAGTTTTCGATTGGTGCCTTTCTCATTCTCTTGGGTTGCTTCCTGCTCGCGGGTTACATCAGCAAAATCGGCTCCAGCCGGGCCGTCGCCGTTCTGATTGTTGGCCTGCTGGTGTTTCTGCCGGTGTTTTACCACCTGCTGATTGCCTGCAGAGCACAGCGAGGCTGCCAGGGCTACTCCTACCAAGACCTTACTGACTGTGATGACTAGCCCCTACCGGAACCAGGAGAAGAGCCACAGATGGGGCTGAGCAGAGCAGGCATTTGGCAGAAGCTATGGAAATCTATGCCTAAGGATTAAGGAACTATGCAGTTTTGCAGCTACTTAGCAAAACTATGGCCAGATTTTTAAAATCCGCACCCAAATGTTAAGTGAGTTTATAATTAGACAAACAGGAAGCTAGGACAAGATCTATTTTTATTTTCCTGGCCCTGGCCAAAACCCCTGACAAATTTTTCCACATGAATGTGAAGACTAAGCAATATTAATTGTATGGGGAAGTGAAGTTATTCTGTAGAACAAAATGTTGCCTCCACCACCCTATTTAGCTGAACATTTCTTTTAAATAGTCTTAGTTGATGATTTTGTCTTAAGGCAAATGGGAAAATGCAGTATGTCTAATTCATATTACTAAGGAATTTATTTGGAAATTTTCTGAGTATTTCATCCCTCCTACTTATCTCTATCTGTATATTCTATGGATGACCTTGGTAAAGTCACATATCAATTTAGGCAAAATAAAAAGAGCACTACATTTGTGTTGTGTGGAGGCCCCATGAGCTTTAGAGTTAGACAGAACTGGTTTTAAATCCCAGATGCAAGCTTTCCAGCAGTGTAACCTTGGACAAATTACTTTAGTGCTCTGAGATAAAGTTTGGGACCATACTTCCTATCGTTTGGGTTTCAGTAGGGATCAAATAAAGTATTTTATATCAACAACATGGCACATAGGTGGTCTCCATAGTGTTAATTTCTCACTGTAAAATAGGGTTCTGCAGAAGACTGCACTGGAAGTTAACTAAAGCCACAGTGAATTGCATCCTTTCACTTAAAGCTAACATAAGCAAGTTGGCGACCCAAGAGAATTTTCTGCTAATCTGTAAAGTTATAATCTCAGTTCAGATCAGCACACTGGGTTGCTCTTTATGTGTGTGAGGCCTTCTACTCTTGAGTCCTGTATAGGAATAGGGCAGATCCAGGAGGCTAAAGTTATATAATTTGGAGGGGTTGCATCTAAAATATATATATATTTGAAATATAAAATATATATTTCGAAGAACATTCTGATATCTTGTTGAAGAGTCGTGGTTTTCTGTCTTTCCAAGAGCGTGAGCCACAATGTCATAATTTTCTCTGGAGTCTCCTTTTATGTTTTTAAAGGTAGCTTTCTTCACTATGGATTCCCCATTATCACTAGTCAACTGCTTTTCAAGAAATTGGCTGATTTTTAACACAGTGCTTGTGGGGTTCTGAAATGGGTTAAGTTGACCACACATGAATCCCATGATGAAGAGACAATGTATGTATCACAGTAAAGGCCTGCAATGTAACTGGGCGTGTGAATAAGGATTCTATAGGGCAGATATTGCTCAAAGATATATGTGCTTCTATCTGTAGTTTAAACAAATATAGGAAAATGTTCAGGAATCAAGTAGAAATATGAGAAGAAACTCTTTTTACTATCAATTCCATTCACTTCTGCCTACCTATGTGTCCACGACGCCTACCCTGGCTTTGCTATTTAATAATGCAACCTGCTGAGTGCACTTCCAATCATCAATTTTCTACATTACTTTTTCATTTTCCAGAGTATTTATCTCCTTTCAAAATGCTAAACAATGTGATTGTTTATTATACTTATTGTATAGTGTCTGTCTCTTCCCCCTAGTACGATAACTGTAGGAAAATAGGGATTTTGGTCTGTTATGTCAGTGCTGAGAACGGCACCCAGAATGTTGCAGGCTCTGGATAAATTTGTGGATGAAAGAATAAATAAAAAATTATTATTGCCTAACTTAAAGGGAAATGTGAAGGCCTAAGAATAAATTAAACCCATGCACTTTTGAAATTTCTAGTAAAACTTCACTCATTGATAACTTTAATCTAAAAAGTTTTTTTTATCTAAAATGTCCTTAGGCAAGTATATTTTAAAAGTATGTGCTCAGTCAGTCTCAAATGGTTACATATTATGTGATTACACTTATTTAACACTCTTGAAATAAAATTGAAGAGATGAAGAACAGATTATTAGCTGCTAGGAATTGTGGTAGTGATTACATGAAGCTACACGTTTGATAAAATTGCATAGAACTATACACACACACACACACACACACACATACCTGAGTGTGTGTAAAACCAGTGAAACCTGAGTAAACTCTGGGGACTGCACCAATGACAATTTCCTGGTATTGATCATGTAATATAGTTATGTAAGATGTTACCTTGGGGAGAGGCTGGGTTCAGGAAACCTTGCATTTTTTTTTTTTGCAATTTTGTGTGAATTTATCATTGTTTCAAAATAAAAAGTTAAAAAATGGTTTAAAAAATTAAAATGTGTCAAAAAATGTGTGCTTGAATCTATCTGTGTTTATGTTATGCACTAGTTTGACAAAAAATTTTGGTAGAGTCCAAACTCAAAACACACAACAGACTTTTTCATTTCCTCACAGGTAACAAAGAGAATACTGAAGTCATCTGTATAAGTGTGCCAGCCTCTAATAAGGATTAATCCAGGAACTGTCAATCACTGGATTAATAAACATAAAAAATGTAAATGAGAAATTCCAAAATCTAATAAGACCTAGAAGAAAGTAAAATTTCATGTGTAATATCCAGGTTCTTTTACCTTTCTGGACTGTGTAATTCTTATCCTTGTTCCTATAGAGACAGATAAAGTGTCTCCCCCACTTCCAGCTTATTTCAATATATTTTCTTTGTCTTGGTTTTCTGAAGTTTGAACATAATATGCTTAGATAGAGATTTTTTTATATTTATCCTGTTTGCTTGCTCTCTTAGCTTCCTGGATCTGTGATTTGGTGTATGTCATTAACTTTGGAAAATTTACAGCCATTATTACTTCAAATATACTGTTCCTCTCTCTCTCTTCTCCTTTTGGCATTTCTATTAAATGTATTTAACACCTTCTGTAATATCTCACAGGTCTTGGATATTCTGTTTCTTTTTTTCATTCTTTTTTTTCCCCTTTGTTTTTCAGTTTGAAGAGTTTCTGTTGACATATCTTCAAGTTCACTGATTCTTTCCTCAGCCATGTACACTGTACTGATGAGCCTATTAAAAACATCTTTCATTTTGTTTTATGTATTTTTTCTAGTATTTCCTTTTGATTCTTAGAGCTTCCATCTCTGCTTAGAGTACCCATCTGTTCTTCCGTATTGTCTACTTTTTCCACTAGAGCCTTTAACTTAGTAATTATAGTTATTTTACTTGCCAGGTCTGATAATTCCAAAATCTCTGCCATATCTGAATCTTATATGCCTATTTCGGTTTTGATGTTCATTTTGTCTTTTCAGACTGTGTTCATTGTCTTTTAGCATGCATTGTAATTTTTTGTTGAAAGCTGGAATGATGAATTAAGTAAAAGGAACTGAGATAGATAGAACTTTAGTGTGAGGTATTATATTTATCTTGCTCAAAATTAGGCTGTGTTTACTGTTTACTAGTAGCTGTGGTTTTAGAGGGTAAAATTTCTTCCAGTGTTCTTAGTTTTGTGTCCTTTGTTTTGTTTGTTTGTTTTTTTGAATTTCCCTAAAGACTCTTTATTAAGTAAGATCTCATGTTTGTAGTTCTTCCAGCTGTATCACCTGTTATTTTACAGAAGGCCTGTTCATGTGGTGGTACGGCGCGGCAGGAGGGGCAGCGTTCCTTAGTACCCTGATTAGATCTCAGTCTTTCGTATGTTCCATATCCCTCAGGTGTGACCTTCACAAGTGCTTCTCTGCTTCTTTCCCCCTCTACAACCTTAGGAATACAGAAAGGTTAGAGGGGACTAGATTTGAGTATCTACCCTCAGGGTAGTTAGGCTTTAGTAAAACCCTAAACCAACCTAGTAAAAATTGCTTAGGCTCTGGTAAAATAGTTTCCCTTGAGGGCAGGCCTTGTTAAGGAGAAGAGGAAACTCTGAGGGTTTTTCAAAATGGTTGCTTTTCTCCCTCCTCCTGCCAAAAGTAGGATGGGCTTTTTCTTTGATCTTCACAGAGAAGGCCTAGTAGGGCTCCAGGAGGTAAAACTCACTAAAAGTTCACTCCAATGACAAGTTGTGATCAATGCTAAGAATGAAAAGTACCGAGTATTATATATAATAAGCAAAACTGAGATTGTCTGTGAAATCAGGGAAGGTTTCCTAAGAAAAAGAACTAAGTGAAAGAACAGGGGAAAACATTTCAGGCAGAGGAAACATGCAAGAGCTCTGAGGTAGGAAGGAACATGGAACATTTGAGAAAAAGAAAGAAAAGTCAGAGTGACTAGATTGCAGAAAGAGAGGGGTGAGTGGTTTAAGATGAAGCTAGGAAGGTAAGTAGTCTGAGAACTTTGGTCCTTATTCTACAATCAATGAATAGCAAGTTTAAGATTACTAGAGTCTAAGCCTAGATAGAGCTTTGGGTTGAAAATGAAACAGAAATAATAGACATTTTCTTAGGTTGTTCCTTTCAGTTGCTCTTCTCTCTTAAAGTGGAGAGATAAGCAAGCGCTAGGCCTGTTCCTTCATCTTTCCTTTCTCCTGGCCCTACGCTGCTCAAGCTTGTCAGCCCAAGAAAAAAGCCTCCATCATATCATGCCAGCTGCAAGGGAGGAGAGAAAAGAACCATGTAGGGGGCAGAATGCTAACCCTTTCAACTCTTGCACCAATTTTTAAAAAAATTCATAATTCTAGTTTATCTTTCATTTCATTTTTTAGTCTATTCCAAGAGTTCTAACCTGATTTCAAGGAGTCCCCAAACCAGCAGAAATTACATGCAACATTTTGCATATGTGCACCCATGTGTATTTTGGGAAGAATAAAGGTCCACAGCTCTTATCAAATTATTGAAGGGTTCTGTGTTTCTCTCACCCAGTTGGGTGTGGGAGGAGGTAAGTATGTTCTTCATCAAGATAGAATTTATGACCAATATGCTGCTAATTGGCAGTCATGTCAATGTAAAAGTGTCAAATAACAAGTATTAGTTGGTTCGTGTTAAAATAAAATTAAAAAAGGGACACAGAACAAATTAACATCAAAGGCTAATTATTTAGTCTATATTCAAGGCCAGATATGGTGCCATCATCTATACTTCTTCATGTTGGAGATTGAATAATATGAATTAAAAGTTATAGTCGTGACCTTAAATATTGCAAAATATTTATTTTCTATTTAAAATATAAAAATATTTAATATAAATGTGAATTCACATTTATATTATCAATTAAAGATTGATTATACTATGCAAATATTGTTTTAGGGTTTATTTGAATTTCTATTATTAGAAAACAGGTAGCCCATGAACTGTCTTATTTACATGGGACAGCCTGCATTGCCTTCCCCATGAAGGTAATATTCTGCTTGCTCAACTGGCAGATTCTATGTTGGGGAAGAGCAAAAATCAGGGCTTCCTTGTTTATTCTCCAAAATTTCCACAGGTTGGTTGGCGCAGATGATACAGCTTTGCCCTCTAGGTGTGAATCTTGGTCTCTCCTGGTCTGCACACTGGAGTCTCATTGTCAGGTACCTGCACCTCAAGATTCCCAAGGACCCTCCTTCCCTCTCTGTCACACACACACACACACACACACACACACACACACACACACACACACACACCTGTAAATGCATTGTCCCTCCGCTAAGGCACGACTCGCCCCTCACTGCGCAACTAAGCAACTCATTTTTGCATAGAAACCACAGAAAAAATACGTCATGACTTTACCTGGCGACCCATAGAATTAAACTATCAAACCTTGAAAATCCTCCAGCGCAGGGCCTTGGCTCCTCCTTTGTGCTCGGGTGCCCGACCCTTTCTCGGATTTCCAACCGCCGCTGGTCGACTGCAGTTCGGATTGGCTGAGCTAGAAAGAAGAGCAGAGGCTCCACCAAATCACAGATCTAGGATTTTCAACTTTCTTGGTCTCCTCCCTAGAACCCTGGCAACACCTGTGCTCCTTTATTTCTTTTAGAGGAACACTGCGGGGGTTGCTATGGAGACAGGACGCTGCAACTTGCAGAGCAGTTAGGACCCAGAAAAATAGCTGAGCCGACCTCAGTCAAGCGACTGTCCAGCGTTGCTCCCTTCCACATCTGCATGCCCCTTTCATCCAGAACTTTTTTTCCTCTTGACACCGTCTATGGAAAACTCGACCGCCCTGGGGCAAGATAAAGAAAACCAACCACAGGGGAAAGAAGGGCGGCCATGGGATGAAATGACAGCAGCTGCTTTCCAAGATCCTGAGCCTGGTTTATCTAAGACCGCGGAGTCCCAGCAGGCGCCGGAAACTGGACCCCAGTCCAGAAGTAGCCCTCCTAGGAGCCCTCAGCCTCCAGGCAACACACCTCCGGATGACCTCACAGGATCAGGTGCATCACCTCCACCTTCCCCTCTTCAGGAACCCTCTTCCACTCCTTCTCCCCTGGCTCTGGCCAGACAAGACCTTGCGGCGCCATGGCAGTCAGACAAGAACGCTAGTGTGACTCCTGAAGCTGGGACACCTCACTCAGACTATTTGGAACCATCGCCTGATAAAGGAGACTCGACTCCTCATCAAACATGCCAATCACAGGGAAACGCCTTTCAACAACCTCAGCAGCCCAACAGCCACCTGTATGGACCGAAGGATGTGAGCTGTAACAACGCAGAACAAAAAAAGCTGAGGTTTGATATTTTTCAGGAGACAGACTCAAACAGTTACGACAATGCGGGTGAGGCTGAGCCTGGGGCCTCCGAAGCGGCCCCCAGTATGCTTGAGACGGCCATTCAGAACGCTAAGGCTTACCTACTGCAGACCAGTAGCAAGTCGGGCTTAAATCTGTAAGTTATGGAAGGAAAAAAAAAAAAAAAAGAAAAGAAAGAGAAAAGCATGGCAAAGAAAAGGGGGTGTGAGTACCTCTGTGTGAGAGTATGTTTCTGTGGGTAAATGGAAATATATTTGAAAAGTCTGTGTTAGTGAGAGTTAGTGACTTAATAACTGCATCACAAAATAGGTCATGGGTAGGGATTCTTCTAGCTTCTTTAAAGACCCTTGCTTGGCACACAGAAATAAAACCTAGGAATGATGGAATCTTGGGTTTGAAAGAGACCATAAAAATAGTGAAGTCCAAGCATCTCTTCAAGATGCTTGTAAAAAGTAACAGTCTACCAGGGCTACGGAGATCAGGGCTCTAATCTAAGCATTCTAGTGCTCCTTTGGCTCCGTTTTGAGTTCCCGCCCAGGCCAGTGCTAGGGTGACCAACTATTCTTTTATCCTGAAACTGTCCTCATTTGAGCACTGAAAGCTCTGCATCACAAGAAACCTTTCAGTCCTGGACAAACCAGAATTAGTCACTATAATTTTAATGTCTGAAGAATAAAAAATAATATTTAATATGTGAAATCTTTCACAAAACCTTAGGCTGACAATTTAAAATATTATTTATAAATTACTGTTTTAAACTACGATTTACTTAGGCTTCAAGAAAGTGATCTGCTACTCAGTAGTGGACTCTATTTGAACTTCTGATATAAAATTCTTGTCCTGGCTTAAATAACAAGCATCAATTTACAAACTTTGTGAAAAGTCCAAAAGACCTCATTATAAATACTCGGGAGCTCACTAACTATTTAAAATCAAAGAGTAAAACACAAAAATGGGAAAATTGTCTTTATTGAATTATTTTATAACTGACATTACTTAAATAGCTCAATTTATTTTATTTCCAAACGCTAAGTCTCTGAGGTAATAAACAAATATCTCCTATAATATGCACTATTATCGTCTAAGTACTTTGGAGCTTATAGTTAAAAACTACTTCTAAAAAAACTCTCCATCTCTTATATGCAGATATTTGACAGCCATAAAAACTATTTTTATGGTAATTAAAACAACCTTTGATTAATATACAGGATCTGATATTGGTTTCCATATTGCTGAATAAAGCCTACAAAAAATAATTGCTTCCTCCTTTTCTGCAATTCTATCACAACATATTATTAATCCTCTCAAACTGAAAAAGCAATAATTAGGAATTAATACCTAATAAAATATCTCATAATTTGACAAAAAGCTATTTTCTAGTGTGGACTTGTTTAAAAACCTTGATATAATACCTTGCCTGAAGAATTACAAATAAAGCGCATATAGACATTATACAAAAACCTGAAACATAAAATGGACATGTGCACTTAGAGTCCTTGATTTGATGGCATACATGGCCCCTATTGGAACAAATCAAAGACTCCAGTTACAACTCCAGCTCTGCCTAGTAAGCAACAATATTTTTAGTCTGGAGGCTTCTCCATCTGTTTCAATACTGAACAAATATTAAGAAAGCTTGAGGACGTTTTAAACAAACTTCTAATCATAACATTTCTATTCATTTACAAGAATAGGAATATACTAGGGAAGAATGATACATTCTTCAAATATAATATTTTAAAACTGCCCTTCAAATTGTTTGTCCATATGATCTACATATTTTTCTTTGACATTCCTAAGATCCATTAGTTAAATACAGATATTAAAGGAAAAATTAATAATACCTAGGGTCAATTAACAGAAAGCAGGCAATTATTGAGCATCTATTTTGTTTCACTATAATAAGGGATGAGATATATTAAAATAACAACAAACAAAACCAAAAATCTAATTTTTGCCATACAGGAACATAATGCAGTTGCTGAATGGGAAACATATAATATACACAAATACATAGGAGTAGCAGCATATCAGTGATCTAAGAAAGGACTACTCTAAACTGAGAAAGAATGGTTTTCAGAAATGACTTGACAGCAAAGTGATTTTAAATTATTTCTTGAGAGAAATGATATATATGGAACACAGCAAGCGAAGGTTATCAAGTAAGACTTAGCAACTGTATGAAAGTGATTTTTAGTAGATTTGCCTCTGGGGTAGAAGTTATAATTGAACTAATTATTAGAAATGACATTGGGGAGCTACAATGCTTATCTGTCAGAGAGGAAATTTATACAAGTTTCCATATTGGACAGAGGAGGTTCTCTTTAACCTAAGAGCACTTTGATGGACATGTTCAGCTCTTAAATAGTAAATTCATGCTGTAAATCTGGTACTTGAAAAAGCACACTCTAGCAGTTATGTATAAAAAGTAATGTATTAAAAAAATGTAATGTATTAATAAGAGGTTAGAGCTGGTTTCACTAATTAAGTTGTGAAATAAAACGCTAGAGCAGTGTTTTTAATAGAACAAAAATATTAGAGTGCATCACATTTTAATAAAATAATATCTTATGACACTTTTTCATTCAGATGTGTATGGGCGGGAGTTGCAATGTGAAATGTATTTTGTATAGGTCTAAAAAACATTGAAGTAGACAATTGGCCTAGGAAATGGAGCAGAAGAGAATATACCTTAAGATAGTCAACAGGATTTAGAAATCAAATTGGATTTGGTGAGGGTGGGGGAAGAGGGATGGGAAAAAGTTAAGGTAAAAAAAAAAAAAGAAAAGTGTTTTAAATATATAACTAAGAGATTTCAAGCTCAAATAAAGTGTGACAATGTTCCTGATGTAAATATGTATCTTGCTGCAATATTCTTTTTTTAACCAGGGGAAATTTAAAAAAAACCTTTTTACTGGGTAACAGTGTGTTTTTTTCAGGACTCATCAGCTCCAAGTGAAGTCGTTGTCCTTCAATCTAGTCATGGAGGGCTCATCCCATGTGGGAATTGAACCAACAACCTTGAGCACGCGCTCTAACCAACTGAGCCATGCGGCCACCCACTGGCAGCTCAGTAGCAGCTCTGCTCAAGTTGTTGTCTTCAATCTAGTTGAGGAGGGCACAGCTCACTGGCCCATGAGGGAATTGAACCAGCAACCATGTTGTTCAGAGCACACACTTTAACCAACTGAGCCACCCAGCTACCCCTAATATTTTAAAAATATATTAAATATTCATATCATATAGAAGGTATTTCCTAAGGAAAATTCTAGACTAGGTTTTTCTGGCAGTGGTAGAAGTTACTGTAAATGCTTATTCACTTAAAATTTCTGAAGGCTTTGAGTTATTGAAGTTTTCTAAAAACCAGCTAACTGAGTCTGCATGAAATGCTTCTTTAAATGCTACTGACATGGACATTATCTGGAATTTTCTCTTTTCGGGTAGATATGATCATCTTTCTAATATGCTGACCAAGATATTAGATGAACGTCCTGAAAATGCTGTGGACATCATTGAGAATATTAGCCAAGATGTGAAGATCGCACATTTTAGTAAAAAATTAGATACACTCCAAAATGAGAATGAGATGCTTCCGACATATGAAATAGCTGAGATGCAAAAGGCTCTTTTTCTCCAGGGAAATTTGGAAGGAGCTGACCAAGAACTGGAAGATGAAATCGTAAGTCACTGCTGTAAATCTGAGTAGTTCAATCTTAGGGTTTTATCTGAGGTGAGTGAGTGTGACTTGAAATTCATATCAATTGTCTTTTATAGCTTGCTAAATAGTATTTTCAACATTATTTCACACAACACATTTCTGTGCTTAGAGTTTATTTTTTCACATTGTGTTTTAGTATTTCATATTCAGGCTTAGCTGTTTGTTATGTGTTTGTGGGATTGAGGTATTGATACCAGAGAAAATGGTTTCTTCATCTTTTATATTCCAAAGGGCCTGGTACAGATCTGGACCAATAGCTCTTTCTTATTAAATATTTGTTGAATGAATGAATGAATGTCAGATAATAAAAATTAGGCTTAAAATCAAGTTGCATAATTTTCCCTTTAATTTTACTAGAAAAATTAGAAATATTCTCATGTCATTTCATTAGTCTAATGTCACTTCCAAGGCAACTTCCTCATATTATGTCTTTTGTTTTGCTTTTTGAAGGTTTTTATTAAAAATATAGCTAACATATAATGTATTAGTTTCAGGGGTATGCCATTGCCTTTCATTTATATACCTAAAGAAGTGATCATCATGATAAGTCCATCAAACATCTGACACCTTACCACGCAATCACAATATTATTAACTATATTCCATATGCTTACCCTACATCCCCATAACTACTTTGTACTTTTTAATCACTTCCCCTTTTATCACTCACACCTCCAATCCCCCTCCCATCTGGCAACCATCAAAATGTCCTCTGTATGAGGTCTGACAATTGAGTTCATGAACTCATCTTAGAAACAGTGCTACATACCTCATTGCTGAATATCACTATGGTCACCTTCCAAGTCCTTCCCTTGGGAATCTATGCACCTATACTAGTGCCTAGTCCACCCTTAAAAGCAATTTTGGAACTCTTTTTCTGGAATGGCCATCAGAGTTATCGGTGTATTACCCTTGATGTCCTTAATGTCATCAAAATGTCTTCCTTTCAATATTACCTTTATCTTCAGGTAAAGAAAGAAGTCATTGGGGCCCAGATCAGATGAGTAGACAGGGTGCTCCAATACAGTTATTTGTTTGCTGCTAAAAACTCCCTCACAGACAGTGCCGTGTGACCTGGTGCATTGTTGTGATGCAAGAGCCATGAATTGTTGGTGAAAAGTCCAGGTCGTTTTCATCTTACTTTTTCAAGCAGCCTTTTCAGCACTTCCAAATAGTAAACTTGGTTAACTGTTTGTCCAGTTGGTACAAATTCTTAATGAATAATTCCTCTGATATCAAAAAAGGTTACCAACATCATTGCAACAAGTTCGTGAACTTAATTGTCAAACCTTCATAACTATGAGTTAGTTTCTGTTTTGTTTGTTAATTTTGTGCTTAGATTCCATATATAAGCAAAATCATATTGCATATGTCTTCCTCTGTTTGATATACTCCATGCAGCACAACATCCTCCAGGTCCATTCATGCCGCTGCAAATGGAAAGAACCCATTCCCTTCCATGACCGAGCAATATTCCATTGTATTGGGTTGTCGGAAAAGTCGTGACACATTTTTGCAATGAAAAACATAAAAAAAATATGTCATGACTTTTCTGACAACCCAGTATATATGTACCATCTCTTCTTTATCTATTCACCCACTGATGGACACCTAGGCTGCCTCAACATCTCGGCCATTGCAAACAAAGCTGCAATGAACATATGGATGCACACATCTCTTTGAAGTAGTGTTTTGGATTTCTTCGGATGAAGTGGGATTACTGGGTCCTTCGTTTTCTCTTCTTATAGCGTTTGCTTTACAGTATATTTTGTCTGGTATTAGTATTGCTATCCAGCTTTTCTTGCTTTGTTTTTTGGGGTTTTTTTTTGTATTTATTTTCATGAATATTTTTTTCCATCCCTTTACTTTCTGTCTGTCTGTGTCTTTCAATCTGAAGTGAGTCTCTTGTAGGCAGCATATGTAAGGGTGTTGTTCTTTTATCCATTCAGCCACCCTATGTCTTTTTTTGTTTTTGTTTTTTTAAAGAACTGGTGGCCTTGTTACTCAGAGCTCGCACTCCCAAGCCAACTCTTAACCAATGAGCCACTCGGCCAGCCCCCACCCTATTTCTTTTGATTGGAGCATTTAATCCATTTACATTGAAAGTAATTGTTGATAGATAGGTAGCTATTGCCATTTTATTATACGTAATTTTTATTTTTATTTTTTTTCTATTGTAAAGAAGTCCCTCTAACATTCCTTGTAATGCTGGTTTGGTGATGATGAACTCCTTTAGCTTTTTTTCTTGTCTGGGAAGCTCTTTATCTGTCCTTCAATTTTAGAAGACAGTCTTGCTGGGTAAAGTGGTCTTGGTTGTAGGTCCTTGCTTTTCATCATGTTGAATATTTTGTGCCAATCTCTCTTCTGGCCTGCAAAGTTTCTGTTGAGAAATCAACTGACAGTCTTATGGGAGCTTCCTTATAAGTTACTAGTTGTCTTTCTCTTGATACTTTTAGGATTCTGTCTTTGTCTTTAAACTTTGAAATTTTAACTATAATGTGTCTTGGTGTGGGCCTGTTTGGGTTCATTCTGTTTGGAACTCTCTGTGCTCCCTGTACTTGTATGTCTATTTCCTGTGCCAGGTTAGGAAAGTTTTCAGTCATTATTTCTTCAAATAGGTTGTCAATCTCTTGCTTTCTTTCTTCTCTTTCTGGTACTCCTTTGATGCAAATGTTGTCCCAGAGGTCTCAAAGTCTCCTCATTTTCAGGGGATTCTCTTTTCTTTTTGCTGTTCCAATTGGGTTTTTTCTGCTACCTTGTCTTCCAAATTGCTGATTCAATTTTCTGCTTCATCTAGTCTGCTGTTGATTCCTTCTAGTGCATTCTTCATTTCAGTTACTGTACTCTTTACTTATGACTGGTTCTTTCTATGGTTTCTATGTCCTTTTTTAATGCTGCTATCTCTTTGTTGAAGTTCTCACTAAGTTCCTTGAGCATCCTTATAACCACTGTTTTGAACTCTGTCTCTAAACAAAAACCATTTTGTTTAGTCCTTTCTCTGGATTTTTCTCCTGTCCTTTTATCTGGGACACATTTCTTTGTTTTCCTCATTTTCGCTGCCTTTCTGTGTTTGTTTCTATGTGTTAGGTAGACCTGCTATGTCTCTCAGTCTTGGTTGGGTGGCCTTATGTGGTAGGTGTCCTGTGGGACCCTGGCACAGTCTCCCTGGTCTCCTGCTCTGGGTGCTCCAGGAGTGCCTCTTGTGTGGGTTGTGTGTGCCCTCCTGTTATAGTTGAGACTTGATTGCTATTGGCATGTCAGTGGGTGGCATTGGCCCTCAGGCTGATTGGCTGTGGGGTTCAGCCATATCCACAGCTTATGGTCTGCTGTGTGGGTGGCTTAACCCACTGAATGGGATTTGCCCCAGCAGGCCTATTTAACAACCCTTTGTGTGTGCTGCTTATGGGGCTAAATGGGTGGTATTCTGCTGTTGTCTGAAGCCAACCTCCAAGTATATTGGTTCTGGGGCCTCTCAATAGGGGCCCCAGTGCAGGCCAAGTCACTCACTGCCTGTGACTGTTTGAGAACTACCTGGTAGTATCTACAGAGCGATACATGGTTGTTTGCTGACTGTGCTAAACCTGGAGGTGCATGGGAGAGGCCACATTATGAACCAAGGACGTCTTCCACCAGTACTGAGCCTGGGGTAGCTCTACAAAAAGCCAGGACACCCCAAGGCCTGCTGCCACCTGCTAGCTCCCTTAAATCTCAGCTGCTGATAGAGCCTCATGTGGTATGCAAGTTGGGTGAGGCAGGATCTCAGGGAGTCACTAGAGTGGAAAGTGTTGTGGTCATCAGGTTAATGTAAATTCTGGTTTTGTGCTAGTGCTGAGACTGGAGATAGTCAGCAAAATTTTCAGAGCACAAGGAATCCAGTTGCTGTCCACCAGAAGCCTGTGAGACTCTGATAGTTTTCCAAGAAGAGTGCAATTTGGGTGGTTCTGGCTGCTTGTGGAAAAAGTGGCTCCAGCACTGGGGGGGTTGGGTGAGGTGGGGTCCCAGTAAGTCAGCAGGGTGGATCAGTGGACCTTAACAGGCCAATCAGATTTAGATATGACTGTGGTGTGGGCAGGCTTAACACAGAATAGATAGATGGTGGCCGCCTGCCGGCTGCCCGGGAGAAGACCCTCACACGGGGAAAATGCCAACTGTCCTCCAGTCCTCCCCCCAAAGCCACACACCTCAGTCTGCCCCCTCCCCCATGTGTCTCTGATGCTTCCTGAATCACTGTTCCTCCTCCAGAGTCCAAGGTGAATGCCTGCGAGCGAGTGAGTCTTTGCACAGGCCCTTTAAGAGGACATCTGGGTTTCCCACAGCCTTCCATCCCATCCAGATGCTCAGAATTCCCACTGTTTTTCACAGTGAGATGTTGTAGGGGCTCTTCTTCCTGGCGCCAGTACTCCAGGCTGGGGAGCCTGGTGTAGAGGGCTGGGGTCCCTTGCCCCTCTGGGGGCTGCCTCCATGGCTGAGATATCCCTCCTGATTCTCAACCATCACATGGAGGTTTAGGATTCATTCTGTGTCTCCATTTCTCCTACCAGTCTCAACGTGGCTTCTTTATATTTTCAGTCATGGGACTTCTGTTCAGCTAGACTTCAGATGGTTCTCCAGGTTGATTGTTCTGTAATTTAGTTATAATTTTGATGTGTTCACAGAAGGACGCAGGCACAGGGTTTATCTACTCCACCATCTTGGATCTCTCCTCATCTTACATCTTGATACTCTTTATATTATGTCAATGAGATAAAATATTTCTTTTCAATCCTCAAATTGTTGAAAATATTTATAAAGTTTGTGACAGACATAAAAAGCTATCATTAGAGAATGAATTTAGTTGTAGCACAGAAATTTTCACTACAAATGTTCCAAAATAGTATCCAGCACTGTTTCCTAAATACACATAAGCTTGTAATTTATACTCCTGAGTAATTTATACATCTCCTGAGCTTCCATGTTTTGTTA